CTCCTTATAACTGTTCCTACAATGACAGCATCTTCACCACAAATGGGCAACTATCTTTAGTTATCTAAGCCAAGGCATCACCAACAGTACCTGCGCTTTATACGTGAACCTGTATACTGATAAAGACTTCTGAATGTGGATCGAAGTCCGGATTATAAGGGATTTGTAGTAAGGGCGTTCAGGTGACGGGCAAGTCGAAGGGAATGATTGAAACCCGTCTTTTGACGCATTTAATATTTATTGATGTGGTCAAAACCTGCAGAGGAGGTGGCGTTCATAATATTACATGGTGATCCATCTGATACATAATTAGTCTCACACAATTTTATCTTAAATACAATCTATTAAACATACTGACATAACACAAAGTTCATAATTCTATTAATCTTAGCTTCGTTTCATTCTGCATTGTCTTATTACTCCAGGTTAGGCAGAAACAAGTAGTTGTAATTAGTCAACAATATTTCAGTACCAAGGGGTAAGTCATCACTTAGGCCGTACTTACAAGTGAGGGTCAATGCAGATCAGTATGCTGTTCCAAGAGACAGCACCAGGACTTGTCTGTAAACACTTCTACATCTGGCGAGATCACGGGTCGAAAGATTTAATGGCATCACACACCAGCACTGTAGCTGAAGCCAGCGGCGACAACAGTGTGTGTTTTTGATGTCACTTGAGTTCACTGTATTTTCATCCTTTTTGGCGGATAAAATTCATGGTTAAAACTCAAGACCTGTACTGTATACCCAGTCCTGTGGTCCTTCTGGTGTTTTTAAACTTTACGAATAAGAAGAATTTTCAATCTACTAGATCTATATCCTTACATCAGCCTCTCCAATCTTAACCCCTCTTCCATTCCTTCCTTCCTGTTTTCCACCCCCTTTCCTTCCCTATTCCCCCTTCTCTTCTCTGGCCTAAACTCCTTTCCTTCCCATATTCTCCATTCGCTTTCTTATCTCTTCTTCTACCATAATCCATTTTCTGTCATGTTTTCCCTTCTTCCTTCTTACCGCCCTTCTCCTATCTTCCCTCCTCCCTTCCTTCCTTCCTCTCCCCCTTCCTTCCATCCCCTCCTCCCTTCCCTCATCTCCCCTCCTCGACCCCACCCCATCCTTCCCCCTCCCCTACACCTTACCATGGTCGCCGCCAATACTAGCCACATCGGCGCCAGGGAGTCGCCTATGGATGAAAATCGATAGAATAGGCGGCGGTGATGTGGAGGCGTATGGAGGGCAGTGACACAAGCAGCCAGTGCCCCCTTTCACAACATACCATACACTAACTTCCTTCGATAAACTTATTGTCTCACTTGAGCTACGATAGAGGGATGACGACCATGAAGAGATATCTTAAACGTAAATGTCTCTTTTTTACAGGTGGATATTTAAGTGGATGTCATCTTACCTGTGTCAAAATACCGGAGACAAAATTTTATACATACACACACACACACATCCTTGACCACCGAAGGGTCAAGACGTACCTGGCGCTCCTCTCGGAGCAGCCAGGTCAACTGTTAAGTTGGCCCATACCAACCCCCTCCCATGAACCCTCCTCCCCACCGGAATATCAACAAGTTCTCGCCAGAAGTTACAATTTCATTTAGGAAAGGAACGGAACCAGTGTTAAACAGAGGTGAACAGTGGTGAACAGTGCTTAAGTCAGTGAGAACAACTCAACAGTAACAGTCGTGCCCAAGTTAACCTTCACACAGTGAGGTCCCAGGTACCCAGTGATAACGGCCCGCGAGACCCAACAGCCAGCGATGTGTTAAGCCGTCTACGATAGGAAGGCCTAAGACCAAACCTCACTCATATAACACCATCTGTGAGGGAATTACTACACCACATGTCCCTCATAACACCATCTGTGAGGGAATTACTACACCACATGTCCTTCATAACACCATATGTGAGAGAATTACTACATCACGTCAAGTCCCTCATCACACCATCTGTGAGGGAATTACTACACCACGTCAGGCCCCTCATAACACCATCTGTGAGGGAATTACTACACCACGTGATGCCCCTCATAACACCATCTGTGAGGGAGTTACAACACAACGTGAGGTCCCTCATAACACCATCTGTGAGGGAATTACTACACCACGTGAGGCCCCTCATAACACCATCTGTGAGGGAATTACTACACCACGTCAGGTCCCTCATAACACCATCCGAGGGAACTACTACACCACGTGAGTTCCTCCTAACACCATCTGGGAGGGAGTTACTACACTACGAGTTTGCTGTTCAACACCTACATTAATCTGTATGTTCACTGTATGTTCCTTTACCTTTCTCTAATGAAGACTTTTGTTAAACCACCAATGTATGTAATAAGTCATTTATGTCCAATGTATATTTTCAGCCTTCGGGCTGCAGAACTTTTTCAATAAACCGTTAATTATTATTATTATTATTATTATTACACACTTTCTCCTTATGTGTTTAATTATTTGTGGAGAAAATAACCCCTGGACAGAGTACGAAAAAAATCATATTACAATCGTTACTGAGGTTAGGTTAGGTATGGAATACGGGTTAGGTTAGGTTAGGTTAGGTTAGGTTAGGTTAGGTTAGGTTAGGTTAATTTAAGTCTGAAAATAACACACGAGTCTACAATTTAAACACCTATTACTTTTTTACGAAAGAATAAAAATAAGAAAGATAAAATAAATAGCAGGAATAAAGTGAATGAATTAACAATATCAATTAACAAAAAAATGGAGAGAGAGAGAGAGAGAGAGAGAGAGAGAGAGAGAGAGAGAGAGAGAGAGAGGAGTATCAACAGCAAAATACAACAATAGAAACTATTCTCCCGTATCATACACGTCTACAGGTACCGATATACAGCCTTCAGGTTCACAGGTTAGGTTAGGTTAGATTAGCGTTGGGTTGGGTTAATGTAGAGTATCTAATCACCAGGTATTATAGGTTAGGTTAGGTTAGGTTATCTAATCACCAAGTAATTTTGGCTGTGGGTCCCTAACTTCCCAGTGGTCCATAAAGGCGCGTCAGAATTGATCATAAATGTGTTTCGTCTTGTGGTCACTAACAAGGTGATTACTCTATCATCGTTATTTACTTATGTTTGTCTTTAATTATTTGTTCTTTTTGCCTCTATATTACTTTGTACAATTATCATCCACAAGTCTCTAACTATGTCAGGTATTTTATTCATCAACTCAGTGTGTGTGTGTGTGTGTGTGTGAAACATCTTACTTAACTCGTATGATCCTGTTCAGTAAATGCCTGGATGAACAAATGGTCCCCAGTGATTGGAAAATGGCTCATGTGAGTCCCATCTTCAAGAAGGGTGATCATTACTCCACGAACAACTATAGACCGGTGAGCCTGACCAGCATTGTATGTAAAGTACTTGAGAGCATTATAAGAGATGCTGCGATGGAACATTCACTACGAAATAACATTGTAAAAAAATGCCAACACGGTTTTATGCCGGGGCGCTCTTGCTTAACACAATTACTCAAGGTACTGAATATTTGGACCCATATTCTGGAACGGGGTGGTAATATCGACAATATTTACCTAGATTTTGCCAAGGCTTTCGACAGCGTACCCCATGAAAGGCTGAAAATCAAACTGGAAGGGTACGGGATTCGGGGAAATGTCCTAGCGTGGATAGAAGACTTTCTACTTGACCGCAAGCAGTGTGTGGTGATTAATGGCACGAAATCATCATCTGTACTCGTCACAAGAGGGGTACCACAGGGCAGTGTATTGGGCCCGCTGTTTGTTTGCTTCATAAATGACATGCCTGAAGCTGTACATTCCCCCATACAAATGTTTATGGATGACGCCAAGTTATTTCTGGAAATTAAGAACCAAGCAGACTGTGAAGAGCTGCAGAAGGATCTCTGTGAGCTTTAAGAATAGTCGAAGTAATGGCTGCCAAGATTCAATGTCACGAAGTGTAAGAGGATGCACCTGGGGCGTACCAAGGGTAAGGAGGCGTATCTTATGTCCCAACGGGACGAAGAGACTGCGCTAAATGAGACAGAATGTGAAAAGACCCTAAGGTGTGTATGTTGACAATGAACTGAAGTTCTCCGGCCATTGCGAGAAGAGGGTGAATCAGGCAACTAAGTTATTAGGTCTTATAAGAAGGTCGTTCAGATATCTAGATTATAGACGGTCTGTCCCTCGTAACGGTTTTCAAGAGTGAAGAGATTCCCCTCCGCCTGGAGTACTGTCACCCCGTCTGGTCCCCAAAATATGCTAGGGGCTGTCAGTTGATAGAAAATGTCCAAAGGAGGGCCACCAGACTGGTGCCTGCACTGCGGCACCTCATCTACCCGGAAATTGGAGGGCCTGAACTTGCCTAGCTTATACTACAGACGGGCAAGGGGAGATCCGATTGAGGTATACAAGCATGTCAGTCGAGTGCCCCTTCCTGGAGTTGGAGGACGCTCGCCCCACAAGTCCAGAAAACTGTGAGGGGTAACTTTTTCGGTGTGAGAGTTGTGAACTCTTGGAACAATCTGCTAGAGAGTGTGGTGATGGCACTAGAGCAGGTTCAGATACATTCAGGAGCCACTACATGCCCAGTACTTGCCTACAGTGCGTAACAGAGACGTAACCGATCGCCCAAGCGGCGAACGAGCCGATCAGTTGTGAAGAGGATAAACGTAGAGTAAGTAAAAACTATGATGACTGGCAATACTAGCATTAAAATTTACCGCTTCAGTACCGTAACCCAAACTCCCCCTCTCGCATTCCTTGACAACCAGGAATAGCGCGTACGTTCTGAGCCTCACGAACATACCAGTCCAGTCACACACTCATCAGCTGTTCCGGCTGCTGGTCTATTCTCTGTTACTTTGTTATGAACTTTATTGTCCAGTGTTAGTACAGAACACAGGAGTATCCGGAGGACACCTGCTGCAGTGTTGGATAGTGTCGCACTGGATAACGCCTTCTCACGTTGTGTTCTGGGCCAAGACAGTCGTGACATAAACGAGCATTCATACTTACTGCAAAAAACGAGAGGGTTGGTTCTGAATGCTTGTGTGGGGGAAGTATGGACGGAAAGTACGATTCCTTTGACTTGAGAGAGCGATAGACGGTGTATTCACGAACAAATCCCCAACGTAACTGCGACTGTAAGATAATGAACGAACCGGCAATCCCAACGACCACCCCGTACGGATGCCAACGTGTTTATTATTTAACCTGTTGAATGCTCTCCGATATAGTACTAAAAATTCCCTCGAGCAATTCTTCAGATGAATATAATATAATCAACACCTAAATCATGAAAGGATACGATGTTGCTAGCTTGAAGGGAAAAGGGAAATTGGAGGACTGGAGGGAGGGAAGAGTTGCCATCGTAGCCTCACAATAATACACAAATCCCCTCCGGCGTAAGTCGTGGCTCCTCGCCCTCCCACCCCCTACTACTAATGGCGCCTTCAAGTGTTGGGGGTACATAAACAGAAAAAAAAAACTTAAAACTCACAAGGTTGCTGTTAGTTCCTCGGTAAGCAGCTTTACCTTATCTATCCACTTTGTTATTACTGGTGAGGTATTGGTCGAGTCGAGGTGTTCGTGTGTGTGTGGCGTGTGTGGTAAATATAGGGTGGAGGAGGACCGACCACGCCCCGGGTTATATCAAGACCCACCACTGTTTGGACTCACGGACACTGCTTTGGATGCACACAACACTGTTTTAGACGAACGCAACAGTTTTAGACGAACGCAACAGTTTTAGACGCACGCAACACTGTTTTAGACGAACGCAACAGTTTTAGACGAACGCAACAGTTTTAGACGCACTAATACTGTTTTTGACGTACGGGCACTGTTTTAAACACACGAATACTGTTTTAGACGCATAAATACTGTTTTAGACGCACCAATACTGTTTTCGACGTACGCAACATTGTTTTAGACACACGCAACTCTGTTTTAGACATACGCAACTCTGTTTTAGACGCATGCAACACTGTTTTAGACACACGAATACTGTTATAGACCCACGAATACTGTTTTAGACGCACGCAATATTGTTTTAGACGCACGCAACACTGTTTTAGACACACGAATACTGTTTTAGACGCACGCAATACTGTTTTAGACGCTCGCAATATTTGTGGGGCAAGCACACTTCTCTTGACGTACAAAAAGCATGTCAAAAACATGATATCATTCATACCTGTCGAAATCCCGAGTTAATAATGGAAGTGATGGTCGTATAGGGTAATGGGTGAGGAGTAGAGGTGAGGAAATAGGGTAATGGGTGAGGGGTAGAGGTGAGGAAATAGGGTAATGGGTGAGGGTAGAGATGAGGAAATAAGGTAATGGGCAAAAATAGGTTCATAACTCTTGCTCTACACTGAAGGTCGTTTACAGTAATACAAATCGTCGCTAAAAAAAATGATTACAAAGATTGTTTCCCCCAGCTTAATTCAGCTTAAGTTTAACCTAGGCTAACCTCTCCAGATGGCATTATGGTGTTTAATCAAGTGAAATAAGCTTGGGAGGCTATTCTTCAAAGGATCTATACACACACAGAGAGAGAGAGAGAGACATTTACTAACCATGGAGACGGCTCTTACCGGTGTTAGATGCTCTCTCTACACAGTGACTCAGCTGGTCTAGGGTTACACCATGTATTGTAAGGACACACGCTTACAACACCTCAAAACTCAAGGAAAATATTGATGCCCAGAAGGTGTGTGTGTGTGTGTGTGTGTAGGGGTCAGAAGGTTAGTGTGTGTGTGTGTGGTTCCATGTGTAAGGTAAGCCCTGGGTGTGTTTGATATATTAACAAAAATAATAATAAAAATAAATAAACAAGACAATAATAATAAATATAATGATGACGATGATGATGATGATGATGATCCACCTAAAACTCAGAGCTCACCTGTAATCAGTGTATCTCAGGTATGTGCCGTGAGTCTCCGTTGCCTCACACTTCTTGGTAAAGGCGCTGCTGGTTGGTCGTTTCCTCTGTAAAGGCAACACTCATTTAGCAGGTCTTAAAATTCGTGGAGGTCAGTCATTGTCGCCCGTGTAAATTAAATACATGCGAATACACAGAATGATGTGTTTGGAAATGGGTTACCTGGCCTTTGAGGAGTTACCTGGCCTCAGTAGATTATTAGTGAAATAAAATTCTGACCGTGACCCCAATAGACACTACTGTGGTGGTGGGGTGGGTCCTGGGGTGGAGGGGTGGGGTCCTGTGGTGGTGGGGGTGGGTCCTGGGGTGGAGGGGTGGGTCCTGGGGTGGAGGGTGGGGTGAAGGGGTGGGTTCTGGGGTGGAGGGGTGGATCCTGGGGTGGAGGGGTGGGTCCTGTGGTGGTGGGGTGGGTCCTGGGGTGGAGGGGGGGTCCTGTGGTGGTGGGGTGGGTGGGTGGGTCCTGGGGTGGAGGGGTGGGTCCTGGGGTGGAGGGGTGGTCCTGGGGTGGAGGGGTGGGTCCTGGGTGGTGGGGTGGAGGGTGGGTCCTGGGGTGGAGGGGTGGGTCCTGGGGTGGAGGGGTGGTCCTGGGGTGGAGGGGTGGGTCCTGTGGTGGTGGGGTGGGTCGTGTGGTGGCGGGGTGGGCCCTGGGGTGGTGGGGTGGGCCCTGGGGTGGCGGGTGGGCCCTGGGGTGGCGGGGTGGGTCCTGCGATAGCGGGGTGGGCCCTGGGGTGACGGGGTGGGCTGACCTGCACGGCTGCACCTTGTGAAGGGACAGGGATTCCTTATACAGGATGTAAGGGGGTGCTCAATAAACTAGCCCCGTGATGCGTTGGGTGAATGTCAATCACAAGACAATGCACGGCCATCTTCTAGGACCAGCCGCACCTCCCTACCAAATGGTTTGAGTTACTGTTATTTAAGGTTATTTCAAGTCTGGTGCTTTATTTTAACTTATTTTACTGTTTTACTGTACAGTATATTTCCTAACTCTCAAAATAACCAAGATCTCGACCCAGTCTTTGGTGAGGGAGAGGAAGAGAGAGGGAGGAAGAGAGAGGGAGGGAGAGGAGGAAGAGAGAGGAGGAGGGAAAGGGAGAGAGAGAAGGAGGGAGAGGGAGGAGGAAGAGGGAGGAGGAAGAGGCAGCCATGTTTGTCAGATTTGCATCACGGTGGCTAGTTTATAGAGCACTTTTTTACTTCCTGTCCAAGGCGAATCACAGAAGCAATACAGCGTCCAACAGGGGAGTAGTGTAGAGAGACAGGGTAGGGGGGGGATAAGGGGCGAAGGTCGGGAGGGAGAACAGGAAAAAAAAGTCACATTTTATTTAACAAAACTAAAAATATTTTAAAACCGTTATTAACTGACAATACAGCACATGACTTTTACACAACACAATTTATATATGGTGCACGTAGGTTAGGTTAAGTTAGGTTACGTTAGGTTGGGATGGGTTAGGTTAGGTTAGGTTTTTCCGTGCCTTTTTTTCTGTGACTTTTTTTCTGTGACTTTTTTTCTGTGACTTTTTTTCCTGGATTCAGGAGAGACACGGTGAAGAGAGAGGGGGGGGGGAGAGAAGGGCGTATCAACCATCAGTACTCATCTTCCACCAATAGACACTTGACACGTTATCACTTCACCACTCAACGGGCAATGAGGGGAAGGTACACACACACACAAAGACCGGTCTATGGACAAAACCCGTCTCATATATATATAATATAAAATACAAAACTTTTATGTTCGGTTAAGTTAGGTTAGGTGCTTCTATATGTCGCTTTGTCGGTCTGTCGGTAGAAAACTGTTGGGGTTTTGTCCGTTGGGGTTTTGTCATGGATTCCACACACACACATACCGAAGGGTCAAGACATACCTGGCGCTGCTCTGGCAGCAGCCAGGTCAATTGTGAAGTTGGCCCATACCAACTCCCTCCCCTGAACCCCTCCTCCCCACCGGAATATCAACAAGTTCTCGCCAGAAGTTACTATTTCATTTGTTGAATAGTGGTGAACAGTGCTTAAGTCAGTGAATAACAACTCAACAATAACAGCCGAGTCATATCCAAGCTAACCTTCACACAGTGAGGTCCCAGATACCCAGTGATAACTGCCCCTGAGACCCAACAACACCAGCTATGTGTTAATCCGTCCACGATAGGGAGGCCTGGGACCACACCTCACTTGAGTGAATGAACTCCTGTGAAACCAGACCCCGTGGTGTCCCCATGATGCTACGACACCACGTAGCGAATGAGTTGCTACAGCATCATCTGAGTCTCCTCATAACACCATCTGTGAGGGAATTACTACACCACATCAGGTCCCTCATAACACCATCTGTGAGGGAGTTACTACACTACGTGTCTGCTGTTCAACACCTCAGCGCACAAGATCTACGTGACCTCCACTGTAAACATTAATCTGTGTGTTCACTGTATGTTCCTTTACCTTTCTCTAATGAAGGCTTTTGTTAAACCACCAATGTATGTAATAGGTCATTTTTGTCTAATGTATATTTTCAGCCTTCGGGCTGCAGAACTTTTTCAATAAACCGTCAATTAATTAACTAATTATTAATTCACACACACACACACACACACACACACACACATAAAAGAAGATCTGAGTTAGAATCCCTAAATATCTCTCTTCATCCTGCTGAAAACAGTTTAAGTGTATCTGGTAAAGTGGGGATTTTGGTGAGCGTATCTAAAAGTTGACAACTACGCCCCTTCCCTTCCTTTGGTTAATTATACATTTCACTAACTATTACCAGCTCGCGGGACACCTACTGCACACTTGGTCAACATCTCATCTAATAGTTTTCCCATTACGGGTCTGGTAGTAAATAATGTTTCCAACTTGTATGTAATATATGAACTGTCCACATACTCGTAGTACACACATACCAGCACTTACACGTATGAATCAACAAGGTGGTGACAGAGTGAGGTAGTCGGTATTGTCTCGGTCAGGACGCTGTTTACGACGATTCCATGACAAAAACCCAGTGAACAAAATCCCAGTGGACAAAATCCCAGCGGACAAAATCCCAGCGGACAAAATCCCAGCGGACAAAATCCCAACGGACAAAATCCCAGTGGACAAAATCCCAGCGGACAAAATCCCAGCCTCTTATCCCAAAAGTGGACAAAAACCCAGTCTCATATAAGATTAATTAATAAGATTAGGTGTAAAGACCATTCGCCTGTTATTATATTATATTG